CAAGATGTTTTTCATAATTCTAGTAAACCATTATTTTTAATACATTCGGATGTTTTGCAATCTCCTATGATTTCGTCTTCTGGTTTCAAATATTACTATTATGTTTCTTTTATCGATGATTATTCTCGTTTTGCTTGGATATATCATATGCATCGTAAAAGTGAAGTCTTTACTCATTTTCAATCTTTTAAGAGACCGGTGGAAAATTTATTGGACCATAAATTAAAATTTTTCAAAGTGATGGAGGGGGTGAGTTTGATAATTCAAGTATGCGGTCATTTTTTTATTCTCATGGAATATTTTTCGAAAATCCTGCCCTGACACTCCTCAACAAAATTGTTTAGCTGAACGTAAACATAGACATCTTCTTAGCTAGAACAATGCTTATTGGTGCTTGTCTGCCAGCTAAATTTTGGGTTGAGACTATTTTGACTGTTGCTTATATTATTAAACGCTTACCCTCTACCAAACTTACTGGTTTTTCATCATACCAAAAATTATTCCACCGGACTCCTGACTTCTCTTCTATGCGTGTGTTCGGATGTGCTTGCTACCCCAATTTTTCTGCTACCTCTGTTAATAAGCTTTCTCCTCATTCTTGTCAGTGTGTCTTTCTTGGGTATGTGTCTGAATACAAGGGGTATCGTTGTCTTGATCCTAAGGGTATGTTTGGCACAACTAGCTGAAAAGATAACTTTTATAAGCTTTTTAGTAACTGTTAGCTTTTAGTAAGTGAAAAGATCTTAAAAAGAAAAGGCAGTAGTTGTTTGATAAAAAGCCGACTATTTGATTTAGCTCTGTTTGGTATACAAGTTGTTAGGACTAATTAATGTTAGAAGCTACGGACTTATCTGAGATGCTACTCATTGTAGCATCTCAAAAAAGATCTTTTATTTTTATAAAAGCTCTTAAAAATTGGCGTGCCAAACATACAACTAGAAGCTTTTAAAGACTTTTTAAATAGTACAAAAGCTAGAAGGCAGGAACTTATGCCCGCCAAACATAACCTAAAACATGTAGGATTTATGTTAGTCATCATGCCCGGTTCCATGAAAATGTTTTTCCATATGATCAATTAGTGTCTCATAAGTCTTCTGAGTCGCCAACATTGCAACTGTGCTCTCTTTCCTTTTCCATGACCTCTCTATTATCCTCCACCGCTTCTGAACAGCCGTTTCCCCTACACTTTCTTCTCCGGTTTCCAGCACTCCGTCATCGGCACCTGCTTCCCAACCGGCGACTGCAGCTTCGGAGCAGCAGGTTTTTTCACCGGTGAGCTCCAACTCTGTCTCGACGCCTGGGGCTGCTTCATCGGTGGTTCACAGTTCGCCGGAACAGTCTGCCTCTTCAGTGACTTCCTCTTACGCGAGTGATGATGAGTGTGTGGTTCCGGTGTCCCATCCGTCCTTAGCTCAAAATATTCATCCCATGCAAACCCGCTCAAAATCAGGAATTTTTAAACCCCAAAATGATTTTTAATTTGAATACTAAGGTTTTGGTTCCTGATTCTACTTGTTTTTCTGTGGCTAATAAAGATCTTAAATGGAGAGCTGCAATGGTTGAGGAATTTAATGCACTTATTGCTAATCAAACATGGGAGTTAGTGCCATTTGATTATGGTAAAAATGTGGTTGGGTCAAAATGGATTTATAAAACTAAATATCGGTCTGATGGCTCTATTGAACAGCATAAAGCACGTCTGGTTGCTAAGGGGTTTAAGCAGCAGGCTGGGGTTGATTTTTTTAAAACTTTTAGTCATGTTGTTAAACCCACCACTGTTCGCATTGTTCTTACCTTACCTATCTCCTACAATTGACATATTCGTGAGTTAGATGTTAAAAATGTGTTTTTCATGGTAATTTGACAGAAGATGTCTATATGCGTCAACCATCCGAGTTTATTTACCCACAATATCCTAATCATATTTTTCGCTTGCGCAAGGCCATTTATGGTCTTGAACAAGCTCCCGAGACTGGTTTTATTGTTTCAGTAGTTTTCTTTTGACTCATGATTTTGAATGCAGTCGTGTTGATAATTCTCTATTTATTTTTCGTCACGACACTTGCATTACTTATTTGCTCTTCTATGTGGATGATATCATTGTTACTAGGAATTCCTCATCTCTCATTTGTAATTTTATTTTTCTTTTAGGGGAATATTTTGCAATGAAAGATCTAGGTCATATTCATTTTTTCTTGGGGGTGAGGTTGTGCGAAATTCTTCTGGTTTATTTTTATCTCAAGCAAAATATGTGTCAGGCCTTCTAACTCGTTTTCATTTTCATACCCTTAAGTCGGTTCGCACACCACTACCTAAAAGAACTAAACTATCTCTCACTGATGATGAGTTACTTGTTGATCCTACAGAGTATCGTAACATGGTAGGTGCATTGTAGTATTTGACTATGACTAGACCTGATATCACACATGTTGTTCACTTGATGTCTCAATTTATACATGCTCATCGTACTTCACATATGTTGGCTGTGAAGAGAATTTTCAAGTACCTACAGGGCACTCTCACGCATGGCCTTCATCTATGGCCAGCAGGCAGCAGGACATCCACATTCTGTCCTCGTGTACTCTGATGTTGATTGGGCTAGTTGTCCTGATAGTAGCCGCTCTACCTCTGGCTATGCTGTTTTCTGGGTCCTAATTTGATCTCTTGGCGTTCCAAGAAGGAGCCCATTGTCTCCCGATCCTCTACTGAAGCTGAGTATCAAGCTAATGCATATACGGTGCAAGATACCTTACACATCCGATCTATTTTATTTGAGCTTGGCTTTTCTCTTCATCGACTGGTTCGGCTTCTATGTGATAATATCGCTGCTTAATATTTATCTGCTAATCACATTCAACATGCTCGTAATAAGCACATTGATATTGATTATGACTTTATTCGAGAGCTTGTGGCTCATGGTGATCTCCTGGTGCAATATGTTCCTACAAAGTTTCAGTTAGCTGATATTTTTACCAAGAGTTTAGCTCCTCAACAGTTTTTATTTTTACGAGACAATCTACATGCAGTTCCTCCTGCATAGATTGAGGGGGTGTAATAGTGTAGAGTTAATTAGTACGAGTATTAATTATTAGGCAGTATCTTAATTATATTTGGAGACTTATTTCATTACAAATATATTGACAAGGCTATCAGTCTGGTCAAGTCTGTTTATTATTCTCACATTAAAGGGGAAAGAAGTGGTAAATTTCGAAGTAACTAAACATATCCTTCATTGGTGTTTATTTATAGAGGGAGAAAATCTAAGTTTTGGTATAATTTTTTTTACAATAAATTAAATTTAATGCATAATAAATAACGTTAGGAGGTTGGGGGTAGTTGATGGGATTGGTGGTAACTTGATTAGGAAGAGAATTCTTCCTTTCGCAATCTCATAGGTGACACTCTTTTTTTCAAAGTAAAAAGGCACCTGACTTTCTTTAATTGGTTAGTTAGAACAAATTGTAAGCTCCCACTTTCAACCTTACATCTTGATCAATCAACTCATGAGGTACCATAGTGAGGATCAAGTGCCATCAATTTTTTTATCCCCAATGACCTCTCATAGTGGGTGCTCTTAGTAGATGTAGACTTGATTTTTATATAAAGCTCAAAACGTCGTTATTTGTGTGATGAGTGCATAATGTTGGTATAGTAGTTGTGTTGTTCTAAGGCTATAATTAGCGAGGGTTAAAACAAAATGATAATAAAAGTTAGTCTAGTCTGGTTATATCGTTTAGTTCTATCTAATCTATTTAGTATTAATTTAATCACATCTAATTTAAATGAGTCTTATTTGACTTGCTCTAATATAGTTTGTCATGTTAGACACTTGGACTGCCTTTGGCCAAGGGCCCAAGAGGGACAGAGGGTAGCCACTCTATGTCTCTATCCTCAAGTTGATTAAAGGGGTGTTTGGAAAAAAATTGATTTTCAGCTTTCGACTTAAAAAAGCTGAAATGAGTATTTTTAAGTAACAACTTATGCTTAAATTAAGCACTTAAAAGCACGTAGAGAGGTGTTTTAAATTGATTTTCACCTTTTCCAATTACACAAAAAACATTTATTTTATCAAACATTACCAACTTTTACTTTTCAGAAGTGTTTTTTGAATGGGGCAGGAGCTTGGCAATGCCAAATAGGGATGGACAGAGCCCAGGTCGGGCCAGGCCCCGGGGGCGGGGCGGGATCAGGGCGGGCCTGAGTTTTGGGATGAAGGCCCGGTACCGGCCCGGGTTGGTACCGGGACCGGGTCAAGTCCGGGCCAGGTACCGGGTCAGGCCGAACCGGCTCAGTCCATCCCTAGTCCCAGAGGCGCTGATTTGGGACATTGGGCACAAGGATTATAGCAAGTTACCGTTCGCGTATGATTGCTACTTTTGCTAGTCTGCTAGAGCTGGCGTTTATCAGTGTGATTATAAAGTATGGCTGGCTGGGGGTGCATCCCCATGAACATTGCATGCCAAGTGGATGCATGTTACTTGATTAATGAACAATTTTCCCTATTAGTAATTAGTAAATATATAGAAAGTGCTATTGTAATACTTATTTATTTCTGACCAGCTTAACCAGTTAAATTGCCAATCTGATCAAGACTCGAGTTAATAAGAGAACTTAATTTTGGGGTTTTACTCAAGGCGCATACATGGCTATGGTTGGACTCAGGTCGGGCCACCCGGCCGTGGACCGGCCCGGCCCGCTACTGTGCAGGACCGGGACCGGCCCAGTTCTCGGATCCGGGTCCGGGTCAGGCCTAGGCCCGGGGGGAGGGCAGGTCCGGGCTCGGGTCTCAAATTTGGTGAACCGGTCCGGCCGGGTCGGGCCCGGGCCAAATTGAATTTTTTTATTTTTTTTTTCATTTTGGGGTTCCACCCGGGTTGGGCTTGATGGGTAGGATGGGTTTGGGGGGGGGGGGGGGGTTTGGGAGGGTGGGGGGGTTAGGAAAGCAAAAAAAAAAAATCCAAACCGAGGCCCGGCCCAGACCCGAGTCCACCCCTATAGATGGCGAGCTTATCAGTAAATACAAAAGAACAGCTAATATAACAGACTGCAAATAATCATCTTTGAAATAACAGGGAGCACATAAGCTGTTCTCCCAATCAAATCATACACAACATATTTGAAATACTATGGATGAGGAGAGCTGGGTTGCAGACTTGCAGCTTTATTTGTGTTTCGAAAGAAAATGGAACGGCAATAAATGCACAAAAAATGTAATGAAGCTACGTAAGGAAAAAGGCTAGGCACAATTATAGAAACGATACACACAAGCACTATCTTGTTGCTTTTATTTCTCACTGCTCCACCCCTGGATCAATCGAGATTGAGATGCCGAACACAGCTTCGCAAATACAATACAAAGCCGTGCAAAGTGAAGAGCCGACATCGTCTCCTCCACACATATACGGAAGGATGTTTGCTAAATAAATCATCTAGTTTCATCTTCAAGGTTACGGAAACCTGTGGTCAAATCCTCGTGAAGCTTTTTGAACTTGCCTACCAACACATCTTCTCCTTCAGCAGGATCCTCAAATTTCTGAGACCTGTTTGGGGAAAAGAGAAACCATTAATAGGTGGGGTCTGCGATAATAAAGTTCACTTTCTTGGCTTGGCTGAGATGTTTGCTTACACTAAACGGTAAAACAGATCTCCAAGGCGATGTTTGATCAAACTATATGAAATCTTCTGGCCATCCATACCAGCTCCTCGCTCTACAGCCTACTCAGAATGTAAAATCGATTGTTAGTATAAGTTGAGCATTAATAAGAATTAAGAATGCGCATTTTATATTTCAAGCCATTTGAGGGATAACTTCCAAATATTTGAAAATCATTCCTCTTGCTTAAGGATTTAAATAGTACGGACTAATATAGTTATATCATCGTTTTAGTAAATACTACGTATCATGGTTTCCTATTCTCCTTAGGTTTAAGGTTTAGATTTCTTATTGCTAGTGGGGTTTGGATCCATCATTTCTTTGTATAAGAATCGTAATATACTCTTGAAATTATCTAGTGGTAAGTTCAAAGTAATATCATGTTGCGTAACACGCTTGGAGCATATAATGGTCAAGTCTGAGTGAGAGTTAAAAGTACAGAAACACTCGCACACTAATATAATTATAATAATTTTAATTGTATTACATAGTTCTCACTGTCATTACGTTTAAGGTTAAAATTTCTATTGTTACGGGTTTGGGTCTATTAGTTCTTTATAAATGCCATGTAATATGCTTCAGAAAGTATCAAGCTGTAACTTTAAAATCATATCAATAAAAATAATTGTTTAATATTGAACACCTCTTGAGAACAAATGCAAATTTATGTGTCAGCCTTTCTTAAAGGGTGGTTTGTGTTGCTTCATTTGGGAAACAAAATATGCTTTTTAGGAGTAAATGATGAGTAAACCTGATTGGCCAAGTTGTAAAAATGGATAATGTTCCTCAACATCCAAACAGACTTGTAGAAAGGACAGAACTTGTCATATCTGTCACAAATCACAAATATCATAAAAGTGAGCAGACAAGTCTCAAGACAGTTCAAAAGTGGAAACTAATTTTTATTAAAACATGTCTGCGAGGACAACTTACGGTGTAAAAGCATTTTGTGCAAGGTAGTCTTCCCTCAAGAGTTTAGCGGTTTCCAAAGTAATTTTATCTGTCTCCGCTAAAGCATCCTTTCCAACAAGCTGCCAAAAAGTGAAAAGGACATGAATAATCCAGTTCGATTATTTACTTTGTTTCTCTATTTTAGTGTTGTTTTTGTTTCTTAATTTTGTTGGAGAATACTACAAGTACAAAAGAACTTACAAAAAGTGTTACCAAAAATGATGTGGCCCATATGACCAATTGACCACCATTGATGTAAAAGTGAGGTGATGTGTTAAAAGACAGGACTCTGCCATGTTTCCATTTCGTAACCCTTTTATAAGTGTTTTTGAACATGCAAAACCAAACATTTTTGTTTTATTTTTCCTGGAGGGTCATAATGGCTCTCTTACTAGCTACTAGTATGAAATGATCAATTTCCCCCATTACTGAAATAACTCAGCCACTAGAAGCCCAAAAATTTCCAACTAGCCACTTTTATGTACAAAGCATGGATTGAACAAATGTATGAAAAGCATATATGGTCACCCAGATGGAAACTGGAAAAACTAGCATTGCACGCTGTTTTTAGCTTCAGGTGGCCAATTGATGGCTTATTTTTTACTCACCGGCCAATAACAATCCAACATTTTTGGGCTAGTTGGAGGGGCTCTTTGGCCCTTTTCCTTTTCATAAAATGATATCTTGAATCATCATGTGTGAACAAATACATAAAGCTGAGCCTAAGGATAACATCATAAACACATGCGTAAGACACTTGTAGATTGATTTATCATAACCACAAGCAAATTGTTTATAACATGTTTAGATTAATCTATGTATGAATAGCACTATAGCAGGTTACGCCGGTCAGCAGTTCAGCTGCTACAACAATATTCCGCCATGAAGAAAATACCAGCTCTTAAATTTTTGTCATTTTCCATATTGCTTTGGTAATATCACTATAAGAAAAGTGGAGGTAAATACCTGCACAATTTCATTCAGATCATCCTCCCTCTGCAGTACTTCCCGAGCTTTTGTTCTTATGTCGATAAAATCAGAATCAAACTTCTCATAAAAGGACTCCAGTGCCTGGATATGTGAGTTTTTAGAAACATTTACTCAACGCAAAGAGACTCAATGAGATCATTACTAGCACAGTTTAGCTGAACTGAACAAATATATTGAGAGCAATAAAACGCACCCCTGAGTATTTGGAATAAGAAATCAGCCAGTTTACTGAAGGAAAATGCTTCCTTTGTGCCAATTTCTTGTCCAGACCCCAGAAAACCTGAAAAAAAAGCTTATAACCTCCGGAAGCTTGTATTCTTGAAAGATATTAAACCACACGATTTTACCTGAACAATACCAAGGGTTGCAGATGTAACAGGATCAGAAAAGTCACCCCCGGGGGGTGAAACAGCACCTACGATAGTGACACTCCCAGTTCTTTCAGGTCCACCAAGACATTTTACTTTGCCAGCACGCTCATAGAAAGATGCCAGACGTGCTGCCAGGTAAGCAGGATAACCACTATCTGCAGGCATCTCTGCCTGAAAAACAAAAACAAGGTATGTTCTTTCACAAGATATGTTGAATGCTGAGATAATAAACTACACTACAAGGTAGTTATTTAAATATAATGAAACTCCAGAAAAAATGTAATATCTTGTGACTTAATTTTTAAGTGCAATGAAATAAATGGTGATTTCAAGTATAGGCCATTTAAATTCTGCATATTTCAATCTAATATAACACAATGATGGCTATATAATGCTACAAAGCATCGTTGACCAGATCAAATTATAATTTTTAAATTACATTCCGGTAGCTTCATTTTCAAATGACATTCCTGTAGCTTCGCCCATAATCCAAATGATTAACAGAACTTCAACAGTTGATAATTCTCAATACAGTGGTCATTACATGCATTTTAAGTTTTAAAAAACATGATACAAAGAGCTCACCAGTCGACCAGAAATTTCACGCAGAGCTTCTGCCCAACGAGAGGTAGAATCTGCCATCATACTGACATTGTACCCCATATCTCTGAAATATTCAGCTATAGTGATTCCTGGAATAATATTGGCACAACAACCAACCATTAGACGCATACAGGAGTCAGATTCCTGTCAAAATGTAAAAATGAAGTCCCCTCTTTCTTTTTAACGGTGAAAATGGATTCTAAACTTGAACGGGTGTCTATTTGTAAATATCGAGAGCATGAAACATGCAAATAAGAATCCCTGGTAAAGAAAGTTAACATAGTTCACCTGTATAAATTGAAGCTTCACGGGCAGCCACAGGCATATTAGAAGTATTAGCAACAAGTGTTGTACGTTTCATGACAGACTCCTCTCTGCCATCCGGCAAGGTCATTGTCAATTGAGGGAAATCCATGAGCACCTACAATTAGGTTAAAGAAAACTTATAAGAGAATGGTCAAAGTAAGAAAGAAAGAGAATATGAAGGTCAATTTGAATACCTCTGCCATTTCATTTCCTCTTTCCCCACAACCAACATAAACAACTGTGTCTGAGTTAGAGTACTGTGTTCACATATCAACACAAACCAAGAGAATCAGAGAAAAGCTCAAAAAGCGAATTAACAGCTCAACTTGTCAATATGAAGGCGAAGGAAATAGGTCACCTTGGAGAGAGCCTGACTAATAACTGTTTTTCCACACCCAAATGCACCAGGAATTGCACAAGTACCCCCAAGCACTGAAGGAAATAGGGCATCAAGAACACGCTGAAATAAAACAATGTCACCCCGATGGCAATTGCTAAATATAAAAGCTGTGTAAAGTAGATAACACAATGTGGCAGGACAAAATATTAAGTCATTAATTACCTGTCCGGTTAGAAGAGGAGTATCAGCAGCAAGCTTTGTTGCAACAGGCCTGGGTGTACGTACAGGCCAAGTCTACATATATAGAGAAAACTCAAAATGAGCATTATCCTGAAGTTAATATTAAGAAGAAGAAAACACTAGAACACACCACTGCAGCATAAAGAAGATTAAGAGTCAATCTTAGTTAGTTACCTGAAGCATAGTATAAGTCTTTTTGACACCTTGAAAGTCAAGTTCAAGAACAGTATCCTGCAGAAACAAAGATTGGGTAGAGAATCTCATCATAAAATGGCTACGGCATGGATAATAACATTAAATGACATCCTTCATGTGTTTTACTCTTCAGTATTTTGTGCTGTGTGAGCAGAGAAGATGGGTGAGTAGAGAATTAGTTTATAATCCTACCAGCATAAACATGTGCAGTATGTGGGATAGTAATTTGAAAAGAGTTTGTGAGAAGGATAACATATAAAAAGGAAAACCTTCAATGAGTATTGCCCTGGTGGTGCAATGTAAGCTATCTTTCCCATGGCATCTGGAGGAAGTGCCACACGGTGTTCCATTAAACTGTTTTCTATAACAGTCTGAAAAACGAATTCAAGTGAGAATTTAAAGTGTACTAATAGAAACAGTTAACGCCCTTTTAAAAGAAAATTTAAATTGTATAAACTTACCGCATATAGATCTCCGCCTGTTAGGACGTCTCCCTCGCCTGGCATCAGAGTAGCATACCAGAAAACGATCAGAATTTACACATCAAGCACAAGAACCATTTATGTGTGTCCCATAGATCATTAAACAACACAAAGAAACAACTAAAAACCAAAAGTAACACTGGGTTTTCTGATTGGTACCTAATTTATTTGGCTGAAATTCCCAAAGTATGTCCTTGTCAAGTGCCGGAACAGATACACCACGTGGAATATAAACATCGCCAGACCTTATTGCAATTGTCTTCAAAGGCCTCTGTGTTTGGGATTCACAAGGAAGGTGGACATTTATCAGGCAGTGACTTTGTAAGAAGAAACAAAATCATAGCAAACTATTAAATTAAAACATGGTTGAAGATTAAAAATATGTCGGTAGCATGTCTTATAAACCTGAATACCATCAAAGATGTTCCCCAATATACCAGGGCCCAGCTCCACTGACAAAGGCTATAATTTAAAGAGTAAAATAAAAATAAGATTAATTGAACAAATCATAAACAGATCCAGCAATCGAAGAATGCTTAAAAGAACACAATTATGTCTTCACCTTGTGTGTACGTAGAACGGGATCGTTAACCATAAGCCCGGCTGTTTCTTCATAGACTGCATGACAGCATATACTTGTAAAAAACTTCCTCAGAGTCTAGGATCTGGTATATACCACCAAAGTCTCTTCCTAGTGCTTCTATCTTAATCAAGATATTATTCGAGAATCTCTACTAGCAATTAGAATGATTTTTCTTTTCAGTTAACTAAAGTGGCTTTCTGGAGGATCTTGGGATAAGATCCACTTGGAATAATATTAAAAGACAAATGCACAATCACACTTTTACAATACAACAACCAAATGAAGGGAACATGAGGAGAAATGGAAGCATTTCCAGAGCCACATTTTTGGGGGACAATATACCATTAGTAGGAAAGAATAAGATTAAGAAACATATACCCTGAATTGTTGCTGAATCTCCTTCCAATCGAATGATTTCCCCAATGAGATTGTCATGTCCAACCCGGACAAGTTCATACATGGCAGCACCCGCCATTCCATCAGCAACAACAACGGGACCTGACACCTGCATAAATAGGAGAATAAGTAATACGAATGCAAAGCATAGGTGAATTTTTCCTAGTGCTGCAAGAAGAAACAAGTATAGTTGCTTGCTCCATGCTGCTCTCAGCATAGTTCAGTGGTAATACAAGGGAAAGCTAAAAACTAAATTAAAGGCATCAATGTCTAAGCATACTTGAAAGGGTTATTATAACATATTATCATCAAATCAATTCCTTTCTGAGCTTCAAATATCAACAAAATCAGTTGCAAAGTCACCATACAGCTGAAAAAACAAAGACCCTAGAAAAACACAAATGACTAGGAGACCACCAAGGTAGAAAAACATACATAAGTAACATAACTACACAATACACATACAAATAAGGAATACATAGCAGCATAGTAGAGCTTCGAAACAATGGTAAGTACGGATGATTTCGTGGTCTCTGATTCGGAACCCTCGCTGTTACAAGCAAAGTAGTTCAATCGGAAGACTCGAACAGGCCAAATCAAGCATAACATGAGAGCAAAGAAATCACAGATCGAGATCGAGATCGAAAAGGCGAACCTTGCGGACATAACCATACTCGCTCTCCTTTTCAGAATCCTCGAAGGTGGTCATTGGACCTCCGTAGAGTGACGGCATTGTGGCAGACTACGGCCGTAGGGAAAACACCTGATATTCGACGGTCCGATCGGCGATAAGCTCTTCACAGCCCAATTCAATTGCGGGATAAGCTTGGGATTTACTGATCGTGTGCAAATCGAGTAAGGGGTTAATTCCGGGGAGAGATGGGGAAAGAAAGAGCGTATGAAGTGTGAGGTGATGAATGATGGCGCCAGACGCTAGTAACTGTCGGGTTTTACGCGAGGGGACGGAGTTGGATCCGGCGATCTGGTGCTGTTCGGGGGTTGACTAGGACATTGCAATTATGCATGAACCATGTGACACCTACCAGTATCTACCGACTATCACCACAAACAAACAAAAATCCGGGTGAAAAATAAACAAACATGTGTTGTAATTAGAAGTGTTTTTTTTTTCAAAATATGTTTACAAAATCAATAAAAAATTGTTTACAAAATCAGGATCGATTTAAAAGTATTTATTGAAAGGCGGAATATTATTGAAATGAAACTTGATTAATCAAAGTTGTCAAATACAACTAATCTTCAAATACAGTAATTTTAAATTTACAATAACAATAATTAGGTTTTAATGGATTTGGTTGATTATTACTTAAAAGTAGGACTACTCATTTATAATTTACTCAGTTTTCTGTCTGAAATGAAAAGGATTCTCTTTATAGTCTGACAATAATTACTCCGAACAAAGTATTATTTTGCCATTATTTCTTGATAAGTATCTTCATGCCACTATGCTACGGTGCTACCAAAACAAAGATGAAAGCTAGTGCGTATATGTCACACTTCTACCATTATATCCTGGGATCGGCCCAACTTTCGCATGGTGTACGTATTCCACTTTTGGAAAGTTAATTACATTTCTTTCCTTTCTTCCCTGCAACTTCTTCCTTCCTTTTTCTTTTGTTATTCTTTCTTTATTTTTCTTTTTTTTAAGACTTCTCTATTTCCATCAAATTAAAATATTAAAAATATAATTACAGTTTCACTTTTCCTTATCTTCAATTTAAATTATAATTGAATCTATTTTTTAATTCTTTATCAATACATAACAAAAGGTTTAATAATCTAAAAAAATAAGTACATTTCATTTCATATTCATACACTATTTTTTGTAGTATCTTTTTTATATTCATACATTTTTTTTGTAATATATTTTTATATGCACACACTTTTCCTTTAATATTTTTTTATCACTTTTATATGTTTTTAGAGGTTTTTAAGACATTGAGTTTGTTTATTTTGATTCTAACTTGAAGTTGCATTTCTAGAGTTACATTTGCTAATATACGTATGAAGTTACATCTTCTTGTACGAGAGTTACATCTTTTTATGAGTGAATTACATCTTCATACGTGTGAGTTGCATTTAGACTTGCATCAAACAAGTTACATTTTGCATGCACCTAAGTTAGATTTTCCATCAACGTGAGTTACATTTTCCATAATACGAGTTGCATCACAAAACCAACCTCTCCTATTGAAACAAAAAAAACATTTCTTTGCATAATAAATGATAATTTTGGCAAAAATAAAATATTTTTTCCCAAATAAAAGTTTTGGCAAACAAATATTTTTTTAAGAAACAATTTTTTATGGCCTTAAATATTAAATATAAAACATATTCACTATTTACGTAAAGTAATTAAGCAATGAGCTTAGGCTCCTTGTTTTCATTGATTACATTTGATAGTATAAGAAGTTACATCTTCTTATGGACGAGTTGCACAATTTTATGCGTGAGTTACATCTTCTTGTGCGCGAGTTACACTTCGACTTGCCTCAACAAGTTACATTTTACATACACATAAATTAGATTTTTCCATCAACACTAGCTACAATTCCCATAACATTACATACCAAAACAAACCCCAGCTATTGAAACAAAAAAAAATCATTTTTTTGCAAAAAAATGTGTTTTTGGCAAAGGAAGGTTATTTAAAAAAGAATTATGGCCTTAATATTAAAGACATAACATATTCACTACTTATGTAAAGTAATTGAGCAATTAGACCACTTTTTTCATTGTTTACATTGAGACCAATGTTTTATTTCTTTTTCTCCGTATTAGAAAAGTTACATCTCAACTTGCATGCAGTTACATAATATATCAACGTGAGTTACATTTCATTACTCACAAGTTACACCACCCTGCTACTGGGAACAAAAAAAGTTACTGTTCACGCGTGTACTGTTCACCTGTGAATTAGCCATGAGAGCACCATGCTCACCGTAGGCTGCTCCCACGGTATACGAACTGACTACATAGAGGCATATCAATCAATAGAATAGGAGACAATGAAGAGTAAATCACTCTTACGAGTTATCATCATGCACGGTTGAGTAGTCTTTTGTTCGAGGAAAATGGTGAAGAGTGAACCACTCTTATTAACTATCATTCCGATAAACCATTTTGTGTTGATGTTATCAATCTCAGTTGATTTACATAAAGGTAAAATGCTACTATCGATTTTATATAAAGTGTGGACCACTCTTATGAATTATCATTCCGATAAACCATTTTATGTTGATGTTGTCAATCTCATTTAATATAAAGTGTGTATTCTATATTGATAAAACATGAATCGGAAATACTTCGTATTCAAGAAGAGATAATTAAAGTAATAATCAGAATCAACGAGCAATTCATTAAGTGAAAATTAGCAAAATCAAGTTTCCATCTCATTAATTTATCATCATATAATTCATTCATCTTAGTGTTTTAATATTTTCAAGTTCATACAAACTTGAAACCTCATTTGTTATAATTTCATATAAGAAGAAATCATTTCTTGTAGATACAAATTCTATTATGTTATACTACGACATTATTACTTAGTATTAAAATATATTTTGTACATACGATAAGCGCATTTCAAATTCTATTACATTATATTAAGTCATTAGTACTTAGTTTTGAAATATATTTGGTACACACAATAATCATGTTCCAGATATAGAATTAGAGACAAAACTAATACACTCAGATCTCAATCATCTCCCTAACTCATCCTTCCTCACACTCATACGTAACAATTTGCTCATTATTATTATACTCTATACTAGTATAGTACCCGTGCATACACACGGGGAAGAGCAGTTGTTGCATATATTTGTACTCATGATCTAATTACAAATTAATATATAAATATTTCCTGCTTAATAATTAGCAAGAATTTCTTCTTATATCTAAAAGCACCACATATGAGAGAGAGAACTCTCTCGCTCAATTGTTATCTTACATATCTACTTATACATAAAAGCAGTACATATGGGAGAGAAATTTATCTTGCTCAATTGTTAGTTGGATTATCATACTTAAAAGAACTGCATATGAGAAAGAAAGTTTGTCCGCTCAATTATTACTAAGTTTATCTTTTTATCTTCATATATCTAAAATCGCTACATATGAGAGACAAAATTATCTTGTTCAATTTCCCCGCTCAATTGTTAGCAAATTTATATTGTAATATGTAGAAACGCTACATGTGAGAGAGAAAAATCTCCCGCTCATTCTTCCTAATAAATTTATGTTACTCGAGAAGATGGTCTCTTATTGTTTAGAGATCGTGTGTGTATACTGAAGAATGAAGAGCTCCGAAAGTCTATACTAGAGGAGGCTCATTCTTCGGCCTATGTTATGCATCCAGGAGGTACAAAGATGTACTGAGACCTGAAGGTAAGTTATTGGTGGTCAGGTATGAAGAGGGACGTCGCAGAGTATATGAGTCGATGCCTTACTTGTCAGCAAGTTAAGGCGGAGCATCAGCACCCGACAGGGCTTTTGCAGCCACTTACCATTTATGTTAGGAAGCTTATTATTTTATGTTACTCGGATCCACTACATATGAGATATAAAGTTCTCACGCTCAATTGTTAGTCGGCTTATCTTATCTTATCTTATACTCCCTCCGTCCCGTAATGAACTTCCCACTTTCCTTTTTTGGATGTCCTAGAAACAAGTTCTCATTTCCTTAAATGACAAGTTAATCTACATCAAAACAGTGTCAAACAGTGCAAAACAGTGTCGAAACAGTGCAAAACAGTGTCGAAACAGTAAATTTTACTCTATAGTAAGTTTATTTCATTAATATGTGTGTAAGTCAAACTGTGAAGTTCATTGTGGAACGGAGGGAGTACTTAAAAGCACTACATATGAGAGAGAGTTTTCCCGCTCAAATTTTAGCAAATTTATCTTCTAATAAGGAAGAACCCCTCCAATATATAGATATTTGTAAATAAAAAACTAAATAAATTGTCTATGAACTTTTATAGCGACTTTCAAAACAATTATATTTACTAAAAGTTATAACACTTTAAAGAAAAAATATTTTTTTTCTTCTGCGGGAAAACTTATAACACTTATAACACTTATAGCGGGAAAGCTTATAACACTTTAATAGCGGGAAAACTTATAACATTTTTTTCTTCTGCAAGAAAAAATTCACTATGTATAGCGGGAAAACTTATAACACTTTAAAGAAAAAAGTTTTTTTTCATATCATGGGACCCACCAAGTCTATCACTCAACCAATTATGTTTCTTCGCTTTGATGTTTTTGGTGTTCCAATTGGAATTTGAAGAGAAAAGAATTATATGTTGGCACTTGACACTTTTATAGCAAATGAGCAAATTGTGGAGAGATGGACACATAAGATTAATGAAGGGTGTAATTGTCTTTTATAGAGCTATTTGTTTTCTTATATATAAATAGATAGATTTGTTTTCTTATATATAAATAGAATAGACAAATAACTCTAGCTTATTTTCTTATACATAAAATTACTACATATGAAAGACAAAATTCTTCTGCTCAATTGTTAGCCGACTTATCTTCTTATACTTAAAAGAACTACATATGAGAGAGTTTTCCCGCTCAATAACTAAAACCACTACATATCAGAGAATATTTTCTCGCTCAATTTCTATGCTCAATTGTTAGCAAAGTTATCTTCTCATACCTAGAAACACTATATATTACAGAGAAAATTCTTCCGCTCAGTTATTAGCAATCTTATCTTCCTTTACACAAAACCACTAAATACGGGAGATAAAATTCTCCCGATCAATTGTTAGTCGACTTATCTTGTAACTAAAAGTACTACATAATTTCAAATGAAAGATGAGCATATAAGTTTTTTTGTATCACACAAGGGCTGTTTTTTTATTATTATAGTCACTAAATGTTAGCAAACTTATCTTCTAATACCAAAAAGCACTACATATGAGAGAGAAAATTTTGTTTTGTGGCTTTAGTTTTTAGTTTGGGAGGAAGCAAGCAGGCTAATTTGGCCGATAATAGCTTTGAATCTCTCACATGGTCAACGATTAGTCCATCTCATTATTGGGAAGTTTATTCTATGTCTAATCGGAGAGTGAGGTTGCCTATTGACTATATAGAGTCTAGAGAAAATGTTTGGGTAGATAGAATACAAGATGTTTAGTTGTTTGATTTTTGAATTTAAGATAAGTGTTCCCCTGCAAAAAAAAAAAAATTAGTTTTATACTCCGTGACAAAGTAACTATAAGAAAGAACACCTCCCATATATAGATATTTGTAAATAAAAATATAAATAAACTGTGTATGAACTTTTATAGTGACTTTGAAAACAATTTGATGGAGTATATGGGTCTGAGCCCCAGGACCCACATACTCGGAAGAACAGAGCACAAGACAACAGAGTGGCGCCCTCGTCGGCCGAAAAGGAGCCAACTCGGATTATGGTCCTGAGTCCAAGGAACCCGGGTGCCCTCGTCGGCCGTGCCCTCGTCGGCCGTGCCCTCGTCGGCCACGCCCTCGTCGGCCAAGAAGACCTCCCAGAATCGGATCTTATACTTGTTCATTTATACAGCCCATTAGTGGCTTTGTATTCGGCCCAGTAGAGGTCCAGTTGTAAATGGGCCTCCCAAGCCCAAGGCTTGGGAGCCCAACCCTAATTTTCTCTATAAATACTCCCCTTGGGAGTAGTTATAGGGGTTACGAAATCATTCCATTGAAGCATATTATTGCACTTCTCTCTCTAGCTCTCACTTCTCTCTAGATATACTCTATCACAATTATATTTACTAAAAGTTAATAAGTCATATGTTTATCAACTATCCCTATCTTGATCATATATTAGAAACTTTTTCTTTATTTAGTACAGAATAATTCGTATTTACGTTATAAAATTAGAACGTTGTTTAATAAATGTTCAGATTTTTTTTATTTTATATATGCAATATTGATGTCATATCAAAGATCGTAAAAAATTATGAAATTTGATATGATTTTTGTAAAAATTGGATTAAAAATGAAAAAGTTATAACATTTTAAAGAAAAAAAGAAATTTTTTCGTATCATGGGACCCACAAAATCTATCACTCAGCCACTTACGTTGCTTTGCTTTGATGTTTTCGTCGTTTCAATTGGAATTTGAAGTGAAAAGAATTATATGTTGCCACTTGGCACTTTTATAGCAAATGAGCAAATTGTGGAGAGATGAACACATAAGATTAATGAGGGGTGTAATTGTATTTTAAAGAGCTATTCGTTTTCTTATTTATAAATAGAATACAATTTGCTCATATCTAATTTTAGAGGGCCAACTTCTAAGTGAGCACTTCTTAAAGTAAGAAAAATACCAAATTTATCATTCTATAAAACTCTTGACCTTTGAAATTACATACTCCTAAAATACAATTTGACCGTAATTATATTCTTTAATTCTTGAAACAGTTTGACTTTTACGTTTTTCAACGCACAACTTTGACCGTAATTATATTTAATTATGTATTAGTTAACATTATAAAAAGTTGATATTTTAGAAATTCACATTGATAGGAATTCAATAACATTTTATACGTAATAATTTGATTACGTATATTTGTAGAAAATTTTGGTTAAAGTAATTATGTGAGTATCGCAAAAATCAGAATGTTTTGAGAATTAAAAAAGGAATAAAGTAAAAAATATGAAGAAGTGGAAATGGACGAAGGAAAATTCCAAGTCTCACATTCTAAGCACTAAACTTTGAAGATTACACGGCAACCGAAGAAGAACAGGTAGAAAGCGATGAAGAAGGCTTGATCTTTCTATTACGGAGTACTAATTAATCAATTAATTTGGTTGAGAACAATGCCGGAAGCAATGGAAGACAACGGTGACGGCATTACTGCCAGCCCCCCGACTGCTATCTCCGGCGGGAACGGCAGGAATGGCAATGCCAATAGCAGCATGGACACGGCGGTGGCGAGGCGGAGGGTAAGAATAGGATCCGCATGTGGAGGAGTAGTGATAGGGAAGCCTGTTATAGTGATGATATGCGGGAGCCTCGTTTACTACCACTGCGCCTACCAGAAATCAAGCCTTGTCTCGCTCGTCTCCGACGTCTTTATCGTTCTTCTCTGCTCTCTTGCCATCCTCGGCCTTCTCTTCAGACAGATGAGCATCCCGTATGTCTTATTCACTACTATTTTTGTTTACGTATTTGTCGATCTGAGTCTGAATTTTCGATTGCTTATTCCAATCCTTGTATATAAACATATACTAGTAATATAGAACATGAAACTTTAATTCCTGGATTTGATGCTTAGTTACATAATTAACTGAACCCCAGTGTGCCAGTGGATCCGCTAGAGTGGCAGATATGTCAGGAGACGGCCAATAGCGCATTTGCCGGCTTGGCTAATACCATTGGCGCTGCGGAATCTGTTCTCCGCGTTGCTGCTACTGGCCATGATAAGAGGTTGTTCTTCAAGGTTAGTTTCTACCTGCTATTTCCCTGGCATCATTGTCTTAAGATGTTTGTGTGATCAAACTTTAAAAACCATACTTATTTATGTCACAAGTCATATGGACCTGTCAATTGGTATAACACTAGTAGTGCACTACTAATCTACTATTGTGTAGTGTAATCACACTCTAGCAATAATCACTTGTTGCTTGAATGAAATATGCCATTGGTTTCCCTTCACAGCATTTGAGGTGCTCCTTAACAAATGGGAGAGAAATGAAGGGAATCCTTCCGGATATATTTGCTCCCTAGAAACGGGAAAGGGAAAATGAATGTGAAGTTTTATTACTGAGTTTGGTTCCACCGTGGAAAACGAAATATGATCAATGTTTTTACACCTTAGAATATTCTGTCTTTATTTATATGATACCCACAGATAAACAAACTGAGTTTAAAACTTCAAAAAACATGAAAAATAAACTTATTGGGTTTGAACAAATGTTTCCCCCTCATATTTTATGTTCTTAAAAGAATCTATACGTTCATCCCAATTTACTTTTCTTAGCATTTTCCAAGTCCCATATCAACCTTTGGAAACTAAGATGTATTATTGTTATTTGTAGGGCAATTTGTTTTTTCTTCATTAAGGAGATACTTTCAATGGGTAAAACATAATTGTGAAGGAAATTAGGTATATGGGTGTTTACCCCTGCCCTCTTCAATTCTCGTGTTGTAAAATAAGTTTAATACATCTTAGACTAAATTTGTTGTGATCAATAACAAATGTTTTTTTTTGTTTCCATTAATTATTTTAGTAAAAAAAGAAAGATAGACAGATAAATAAATCAAGGTAAGGTGGTTACTCATACGGTAGCATTAGTCACAGCAAAATTTGACGCATTACTATTACGGACTAGATTGAGGCTCCGGTGACAAGTTTTATATTCTCTACCACAGGTTGTTGCTACTCTTTACGTGCTATCTGTTTTAGGGAGGATGGTATCAGGTGTTACCCTTGCTTATGCTGGTATGTTATCACATACATATCTTCTATTTTGCCTTTAGTCATAACTTTTAGTCTTGCGGTCATGCCTCTATAATATATTAATATGTATCTGATCTAATGCTTTGCCATTCTTTTGAATCACTATCAAATGGAATATATGCTTAGCAGTTGCATATTTGCAATTCCTTTAATTGGCTTCTATTCCCTCTTTCTTTCTTTTATTTATGCTTTCCTTCTGTAGCATTTTTATAGTTAATGGTTTATCACCTATGTTTTTTCCTCTATTTCTTAAATGGAAACAAAAAATGAGGTGGAAACTTTGTTCATGGTTCTTTATGGACATTCCACAGAGAGCGGGAGGTGAATGCATGTGTTCTGAACATGTTTGGGTTGCTTTAATCAAAAGGTGTACCCTGTACAACTTTAGCCAATGTTTGAAATAGCTGGATTGTGCAGATATATCTGTAAACTGACTGTGCCCATACAAAAATGAGATGAATAGCATTTGTTCCCAAAAATCAGGGATATAGCTGCCAATATCCCATGTATGTGACTTGTAGAACAAATTTTCAAACATAAAAACCTTAGAAATTCTCAGACATTTTCAGAAGTTCCTGCATGATTTTCCTAAAAAATCTATGAAATAGTCATACAAAGGTCATTATCTTTATTGATAGTTTAAACAAATTATACATACATATAATAATATGATAGTAATTTGCGCATTAATCCTATATATATGAGCTCATATGTTTTCACAAATGTGTAGCTAAACCCAAAACGGACCAAATACCATCAGTAGATTGAGATGCTCTTATACTAGTGCACTATAACGCGACCTCTTGAATGGGGGGGCTAGGCTGTCTAGAGTTTCTCCCAGTTGGTACATAGTGCCAATTTTTTTAGATATACTTGGCGGGATTAGATGATCAAGAGTGGGTTCCTCACATTCCCATCACTAAATTTGCACTTTGTTGTTAAGTGTCTTCTGATATCTCAGCAAATATTTTCTAAGGCTCGTCCAACTTGGTCATCATTGTTTTTTTGTAGCTAAAATTGATTTGTGTATAAACGTGACTTGAAAAAGTAGAAGCTACCAAACATGATTTTTGGCTCACTATGTAACTAGAATGTCCATTATTTTACTTTATTGAGGGATTTTGTTGTGTCTTATGCAGGCCTGTGCTTGTTCTGTCTTTATTTGCTGGTAGAGAACTCACAATTGATCAGCTCTCATGTCTCCCATTTTTCTCGGACAAGAGACTACTCAACCGTGCAGGATGATAACTCATAAGAGTGGTTCACTCTTCACAGCGGTCTCTTCTATTGATTGCTATGCCATATGCCTTTGTATGTAGTAGTGTGACATATGCATTACCTTTTACCCCTTTTGTAGCATAGTGTTATGAAAGATACTTATCAAAAAATAATGACAAAACTAATACTTCGTACGGAGTAAATATTGTTAGAAATAAAGAGATTTGTTTTCATTTCAGATGGAAAACTGAGTAAATTATAAAAGAGTGGTCCTACTTCTAAAGTAATAATCCACCAAACCCATTAAAACCTAATTATTGTTATACTGTAGTATTTTATAATTATTGTATTTGAAGACATGCCTAAACTGATTAAAATGCTATTATTGTCATTGTATTTTAAATTTAGGGATTATGGATTTATGGGTATGGTATTTAGGACCAATATGACCCTTACCTTTCAAAATATATCACATTATCCCTTCCTCTTTTCTGCAACCAGCCAGAAACATTCAGTTCCACATTTCCTCACCAATTCTCAAGCAATCTAATCACCCCCAAAAAGTCGCGGACATATGAGCTTCACCCGACCCTTTCATGATAAGAATTTGGCGTTCTTGCATCGTCGGCCGGTTTCATCTATTCTCGGCACTTCAAGTAGGCATCGGTTTCCGTTGAAGTGTCCTGTCCAGATGCTAAACTTGGCTACATGAGCATCCTTTTTCATTTATACAGCAGAGCTGCAGAGGTAAGAAAAGCATCATCCACACACATGCATGTATATAATAAAGTAGCTAGATTGTAATCAATTTAGAGTATGATTTTCACCCCTCACAATCACGTATCCGAAGTTGATCTAAGTCATCTAACAGATCTATATTTTAAGTATTTTTATAATTATTTTGTTCTATGTTTTAGGAATTTTATCAATTCAGGCCCTGAAAGATAGATTAATTATCAATTCAGGATCCAAAAGATGAAACGTATCGGTATAGGACCCCGAATGATGGAAAATTATCGATTTAGGACCTAACGTTTCCTAGGTTTTGTTTTATTTAATTTTTTATTAATTCCATTACTAATTTTTGATAAACTTTTCTTCACAAAAGTTTATTAGTTTAATAAAACGAAATAATATTTAAAAATTTGTAATAAAAAAATTATGACAACTTAGGTCCTCGATTAATAGTTTTCAATCATTCAGGTCCTAAATTGATAGTTTTTCATCATTCGGGTCCTATATCGATGCATTTTATCTTTCAGGTCCCGAATTGATAATTAATCTATCTTTCGGGTCCTGAATTGATAAAATTCCTATTTTTTATTGCAACTTCTTTTATAAACAATTTCACTCTATTTCATTCCTAACAAATATGAAAGAATTTCATATTTCACTCTATTTAGGTTAACTGAAATTTCACTTAATAATTTCTAGGCCTTTCGAAAATTTGACCTTCTGGCTATAGTATCAATAAATCTAAAAACTATTAATCTCAAATTCTCAATGAAGCTTACAAAAATATAATTTCGAAAGTTACACTTCTGAAAATCTGAAATCTTAACCAATAGTATGTGATCCACGGGTATTTGTTGACCATGATGAAATGATTGTAGCTGAAGATATATATACAGATATATATATATAGAGAGAAAGGAGTATTCATGTGCGTCCGGTCGCACCACAGGGGCCGTCCGGCCGACGGCTTTTGGCCGCCTTCCCGGTGGTATTTTTTGATGAAAATTTTATGACATGTTCTTCATCAAGTCTAGTTTATGCACACAAAAGTTCAGCTAAAAACTCAATCCGGAAGGTCGACAAATGATTTTTTGAAGTTGACTGCGTTTTTTGTGTGTAATTTTGCACAGTTAACTTCAAAAAATCATTTGAAGACCTTCCGGATTGAGTTTTTAGCTGAATTTCTTTGTGGATAAACTAGACTTGATGAAGAACATGCCATAAAAATTTCATCAACAAATTCCACCAGGAAGGCGCCCAAACGCCGTCGGCCGGACGGCGCTTCTCCTGCGTACGGACGCACCAGAACAGCCCTCTTTCTCTCTCTCTCTCTCTCTCTCTCTCTCTCTCTCTCTCTATATATATATATATATATATATATATATATATATATATATATATATATATATATATATATATATATATATATAGTGGCGGAACCAGGACACGTGACTCGCAGGGGCACAATTAACAAAGAAATGATATAGTAGTCTAGAAAAAAAATCATAGGCATCACGGATATAGCAATAAACAAAAATATAAAATTAAAATAAAACAACTACTTAAAGAGTACCTTAATTTTGATTAGAACCTGACGCGGAAAATGAAGGACAATCATTGAGAGGCGGCAATCTTTGTCTTCGAGGTGCCATACTATGAAATCGCCTCATTATGACTTCATTCTCAATTTTAACAAATACATCTTTCTCAATGTAACACACCAAGCAATCTGTCAAGTATTCTTCTCCAATCTTGTTGCGCAAATCATTCTTGATAAACTTCATCGTCGAGAAAGATCTTTCAACTGTGGCGGTTGTAACAGGTAAAACCAATGCCAATTGGATGAGTCGGTACACTAACTTATAAGTTGTGTGCCACTCTGTTTCAACCAATGTTTTTGCCAAATCTCCAATACTTTGTAGGTCTGAAAATCGTGGAGATGATTTGACAAATGTAATGAACATCCTAAGTTGTTCATTTAGTTCAAATTTTTCTCTTGAACTAAAATCATCTGGGTATAGATTAACAAGACGAAGTAGTCGCTTCACATCAAAATTGGAGAATGAGTCTTTGGGACTTAACGATGCTATGCACATTAGTAGCTCTGAACTTGACTCGGTAAAGCGATTATTCATCTCTTGAATAAGACGATCAATAACCTAACATTATATTAAAAAACGTAATTAATTACAATAACAAAATAAATAAATTTAAATACAATTACGTAAGGAATAAAACTTTTAAAAGTACCTCGAGAAAAATGTCAACATGAAAATAGTGATAATAAGTTTTCGGGCTACCATCAATTGTCTTCTGCCTTTTCACTCGTCCTGGCTTTACATCCATCATATTAGGTACATCAATATCAAGTTTTGAACAAAATGTAGCCACTTCTTCAATCAACAAATCCCAACCATAATCATTCCTACATTTCTCCAAATCGGTTTTGACGGTCTTGACAAGATCCACAACATTGCCTATGTTTTGATTTTTTTGTTGCAATTCCTTTGATAGCACATTAGTTTTTCCCAATAATTGCAACATGAAATGCGCAATGAACACAAAATCATAGGATGCCATTTTTTCAATCAAACTAGAAGAAGTGGACTTACTTTTGAGATCAACACCATCATCAAATATAGCTTCAAGCACCTCAATGACCGCATCCCACATATCAACAACTCTAATGATTGTTTTATAATGGGAACCCCAACGAGTATCACCCGGTCGTGCTAGACTTTTTTCTTGATTTTTCCCCTTCTCCGTGCTAACCTCACCACGTTCTATACGGGCTACAAGATCCTCATAATGCTTTTGTAAAAGATCATCTTTTCTCTTACATGATGCACCAACCACATTTACAATCATGATGAGATGATCAAAAAAACTACCAACTATTCCATTGCTCTTCAAAGAGGACACAATCACTAATTGAAGGCGATGAGCAAAACAATGAACATAATGTGCTTGCTTATTTTCCTCCAAAAATTTTTGTTTTAAGCCATTAATTGCACCACTCATATTGGAATCCCCATCATAACCTTGGCCTCGAACCTTAGACATCGAAAGACCATATTTTGTAAAAAAATCATCAATGGCATTTTTCAATGTCTGCGCACAAGTGTTACTAACATGCACCACTCCCAAAAATCGCTCAATTACCTCCCCACAATTGTTAACAAACCTTAAAACCACAGACATTTGCTCTTTTATGGAACTATCTCGAGCCTCATCAATCAACAAAGAGAAAAAATTGCTACCAACCTCATTAATAATAGCTAGTCTTACCTCAGTTGCACAAGCATTAATAACGTCCTTTTGAATTTTAGGAGAGGTTAGTTGACTATTCCAGGGAGCATTTGACTTCATTACCATATCAATATGTGGATGCCGTCTACACTCCCATTTCAAGAGTTCAAGAAAATTACCTGTAAATACAAACAATGCAATTATGCAAACATGCAATAGTCATTAGAATTTTATAATGAAATAAGTAATAAAAAATAATGGAAATAATCTAATAAAATTTACCAGAATGCGTAGAAGTAGCTGATTCATCATGACCTCGAAAAGCCAAACCACCCTCTAAAAGGAATCGAACTACATCAACAATAGTTGTTAATCTTGCACGGTACTCAAGCTCATCTTTTATGGTTTGTTGTGAATATACATAATCCACATTTTGCTTTTGGTTTTGAAACCCGGACCATTTAATTTTTGCATAATGATGCATGCTTTCTAGACTTCCTTCGTGGTCACGGAATTTTTCCTTAGCTTTCTTCCAGTTATTAAACCCAACTTCAGTAAAAGCATCATCTCCATTTTTATGATGTCTACCAAACAAATAACACAAATGGCAAAATGCTGCATCTTTAGCAACACTATACTCCAACCAATTAAATTCATCAAACCACTGTTTTTGGAATGATCCGTTGCGCCCATTAAAATCACTTTGTGGAAATTTAAAGTCACGCGGTTGGCAAGGACCTTTTGTCAAATAACGTCTCCTCAACTCATCTCTAATATTAACATCATAAGTCTCAATCGGCTTACGCAATCCAGGATCACCAACAATGTCATCATCCGACAATTCAATCTCTATTCGAGCTTTTTTAACATTACTCTCATTGTTAGGAATGACATTTTCCGATGAAGAAATTAAATTATTCGATGAAGAACCACCAATGATAGGTTGTTTCGGTTTCGGCGGAATTGCCGAAAAATATCGTAACATAGTCATTGTTTGTAACACAACCTAGACCAACTACAATTGAAATTTGAAATA